AGAATACTGAACTTTGACATGTTATAGCGTAACAAGACTTAAGACATTCAACCATGATGAATTTATCCATTATACAAAGAAGGGGATGCACTGGATTTGGCACTGGAGAATAGAAATCAGGAGGGTTGATGATTGATAAGGGAAAACAACAAACTCATGGCAATCAATAAATAATTGAAATCAATGAGTGAGAGTCACAGAGTCTCTTAAACTAAAAAAGAGCCTGGTCTTCCTTACATAGAGGTCAGACACACCTGAAAAAGATACTAGACTTAATTATGAGACTGGCAAAGTTTCACAGTAGGCTGAATTCTCAGTACCTCAGTCAGGGCCCCAGTAGAGATGCATATCTGGAAGACAACTTCCAAGATTTTTGCAAGAGCATCTTGAACCCCCTGATTCTCTCACATCCCTGGGCCCACAGACTTGGCTCTCTCTACCTTACGGAACCCAGAAGTTCCATTCCCTTTCATAAAACAATTCAGACACTTTGAATGAGACTGGGACCTTATGAGATGTGACTAGTCTTCCTCAGGGTTTGCCTTCACTTTCTTTTCTAAGTGATGGATTAATAAATTGTGTAAGACCTACAGTGTTCATCTGCTGGGCTTATGGAGGGAGGTGGGGTGAATTATACAACAAAGAGCTAACTCACATGTACCAGAAGAAACCAGAAGAGTAAAACTGAATCCCAAGGTATATGAATAAAGAAGTGACAAAATATAAAGCTGAACATGACACAGGAATGAACAGTTTTGTAGAGATCTTGGAAGGTGGCTTTTGTATGCTGCTGTTGTGACAGTTGGAAGCTTGAAAAAATGATGATCCACATTAAATAAAGATAGGATACCAGAACTACCACGGCAGAGTGTAGAGGAAGGGATCAAAAGGCTCAGAGATGTGGAAATGCTAAAAAGTAGAAAACACACTGTGACTCTATTTCTTGAGAGGATACAGAGGACACCGTTTTCCAGGACAATAAAGAATGTGCTAGTGAAGGGCAGCAGCATTAGCAAGGAGCTCAGTGGAGTTCATCTTCTGTAGGCCAGGGCTGACTGGGCTCCTAGTAGTGGTGTGGATGCTTGGACCCTGGATTACCAGCAGAGGTCAGGTGAGAGCCTTGCCATCAGAAGCAAGGCTACTATAGTTACTGCAAGGGGCAGCCTACCAGACTGAGTAGGAGGTGCAGACCTGCTGGATCTTTGCAGATGGTGAATAAAGAGGATTGTAGTATCACTACTGGGTAAGAGAAATGAGCAGGGGGTTTATATATATATATATATATATATATATATATATATATATAAATTTGGAAAGAACAAAAATGGATGAGTGGGAGGCTGACATCATAATCACTTACTAGTACCCAGACCTTAGCTGGCTGTCAGACCCAGAAGCCCTTTACTGAATGAGAGTCTCCATGGTCCTTGCAATACTTACAGAGTTTATGTAGAAGTGATCCCCCTACCTGCCACAACACAGTTTTTTCCCCAAAAGACTTTTGTCCTTTTACTCAGATAACTAAATAATGGGGAAAGGGAAAAGTTTACATATTTCAAGGGCTTTGGATGCAGCATCTGGGCTGATACTGATAAACAGGGACCGAGTTTCTGTTAGAGGAAGAACAAATGGTGTTGTGTCCCAGATCACGGTGGGTCAGCTGCATTCACAGTTCTCTTTGATAAATTTTTCTCCCATTCCCAAATATATAATCAGAATGGACATACTTAGCAGGTGGCAGTGCCAGCACACTGATTCCTGGCTTTTTAAGGAAGATATGGTATAGCAGGAAAGGCCTAGTGCAAGTTCTTTAAACACTTTTCTGTTGTTACCAAGATAATCATTGTTAAATATCATGGAAAATGGGAGAGATTCATCCGTGGTGGTTCTTCCTATATCTCCACTAAATTCACTGGTTTGATTCCTTCGGAATCTAACCTCATGGCAAACTTAGTGATGAGACGGCCACCAGGTGACCTTCTTGGATACAAGAAACCCTGACACTAGCTGCTATATCTTTGCCGGAGGTGGTTAACATAGTCTCACATACATATGAGAATTTAATGCAATTCCAAGTTCTCTCCTAATTATAATAAGATTATTGTCATAAAACATAGAAAAACTTACAGAGGATCAGGGTTATAGAGTTGCTCTGAGTTTCCATAACAATTGCTACTTTTATTTTTCCACCAACAAATAAAAACACTTTGCAGAGGTTTTTCTAGGAACAGGTAAGAAAGAAACACCTAAATGATCAGGGTGAATTTTATCAACTAGCAAGCATATATAAATGTTCATAAATCATGCATTGTTGTTATGGGTTCTTACCTAATGTAAATACAGCATTCTAAATTCTTACTTACATGATATTATTTATCATCTATATTCCTGTGGTGTAGATTAACTTAATGTCCCTCAGATGACCTGTAGTAGATCTCACATTTTGGAACAAGATTTCTCTACCTGGATACAGCATCTCTGCCTGAAGTAGATCTCACATGTCAACAGTACTCTATGTTCTCATTGTATAACATTTCTCTAAATCACTGAGAGCTTGGGTATCTGGGATGTAGCATGTAAGTCCATGTCTACAGATGATCTTTCTTTTGGGACCAGACTTTTCTATCTATACATTCTGCCTTATGACAACACAGTCTAAGCCTATTGATCTGAGTATTTCTTCTGGAGAATATCACATTTGTCCACTGACTCATGTTAACCGGACATCATGTTAACTAAACTTACTTAACAGGATTCCCAAAAGAAAAGAGATGAATGTAGCAAAGATTGAGGGATCTGCTATATCAGTGAAGTTTTTAGGGATCCAGTCGGCTTCTAATGGGCTCCACAGTAAAAATAAATCAATATGAAGGCTATTTGAAATGGTCAGATTCTTCAGGTTTTAGAGGGAGCGTGTTTCACGTTTTGGGATAGAACTTTCTGGTTCATTTATTGGGTAATGTTAAGAGTAGCTTAAGTGGGTCCTGGAGGAAGGAGGAATTCTGTGTCTGTAGCAGGCTTAGGCTGCAGTATAAGCATCTCTATCACATTAATCACATCATCTAACAGAAGCCCAGGTATTAGAGATATTTGGGTATTAAGTGATGTTATGGAGACTTTATTAAACCTCAATAACAAAATAATAGCATACTTATAGATCTGAAGCAAGGCAATGCTTTCTGCAGTAGAGTATTAAATATCACTCAAAAAAATCAGTTCCTCATAGAGGTGGAGGTTATGAATGGACCCAATGACATTGGTTTGCGATTAACAGAATACTGATCACCCCAAAGAGGTTTGTAACCTGCTATGATTTATAGCTAAATTGCCCTACACACAAAGACTCATGTGTTTTAGAGGTGGTGATTGACTCATGGGGTGCTATATTTAAAAAAAATTATTAGTATACCTCTGAGTGGATTAAACCATTGATGTGTTCATCACTGAATATACCTTGAGGAGGTGGGCCATGGTTACAGGAAGTGGGTAACAGAGTGTGACTGGGAAGAGTATAGTCTTGTCCCTGCTCCTTCCTTTTGTCTGTTAATTGTCTTGAGTTAAGCAGCTTTCCTCCATGAGGCCCTCTGTCATGACACTTTTGCATTGAAACTAGCTTAACCACAGACTGAACGTATTGGAAACTGTGAACTAAATTAACTTCTTTTTTACCTTGTGAATATCTGGTATTTTGTTTTAGCAATGGGAAAGTGACTAATACACATTGTAATCTCTTGAACTTGTAAATATATTTCACATGGCAAAGGGACTTTGAAAATATGATTGTTAAGGACGATGAGAAGAAAATTATCCTGGTTTATTTGGATGTGTCCAATTCGACAGCAGGGTCCCTTATAAAAGGGAGGCAGAGCCAGCCTTTTCCCATGAGTCAGCGTCATTTTCAGACTACAGGAGAAGAGAACAAGAAGTCATCAAAGAGCAAGTGTTCTCCGTGAATCTGTGCCAAGTGCAGACCACTGGGGAGAGAACCAGATGCCAGCCCCTTCCAGAGCATGGACTGGGAAACAAAAAGCCAGCCCTCAACCCTCCTCCCTTCCCTGCCATAAGCGACCAGCTATCTGGAGAAACATAGGCTGAGATGTTAGGTATTAAGGTGAAATACAATTTAATGCTTGTAGTATTAAGTGTTTCATTGACTTTGCAGGTCTACAACCGGTAGTCTGATCATCTATTTAGAGGATGACAATATGCAATGTATCATCTAGGGGGATCTCCTTCTGAAGGTGGTAGCCTTTGTTAATTCCCTGCTATCTTGTTTTGGAGTCCTGTATCATTTTTATTGTTTTGTTGGGTTGGGTTTTATTCTATTTTGTTTTGTTTGATTTTATTATATCTGATGGCTTGGGCAGCTATTTCAAAAAATAACAAGATATATTATAGTAGCCATTTTGGATTTATTATTATCTTGTCTTGAAGTCTGTCCTTTATTGCATTCATTGTTTTGTTTTTATTGGTGCTATACGGTTCTGTTTTGATTTTTACTATGTCTGAAAGAATGGGAAGTTATTTTGAAGACAACAACAGGCATTATGGTAACCTCTGTTGATTTCCTATTGTTTTGAAGTCCCGTGTCACACTGGTTTGTTTTTATTGGCTTCACTGTTTTATTTTGCTTGGTTTTATTCTCTTTAAAATAAAAAAATAAAAGGGAGGCAGAGACATTAGAATCAAGGAAGGGGAAGTGATGATTGAAAAAGGAGGGAGAGATTCTGCATGCTCACTATTTGCACTGCTGGCCTGAAGATGGATTGAAGATGGAAGCTCATCATGAGCCAAGGAGTGCAGAAGGGTTTTAGAAGTCATAAGGAGAAAATTAGATTCACTTCTAGAGCTTCTGAAAGGAACACAGGCCTTACTGATGCCTTGATTTTAGACCAGTGGAAATTGTCAGTTGACAAATTTGTCATATTTTAAGCCACTAAGTACATGGTAACTTGTTACCACACCAACAGGAAATAAATAAGGCTTTTCTCTTCCACTAGGAGGCAGCTAGCCTGACGGCAAGCAGATAAACACCATGCTCTTAACACAGAACAACCTGCCACTTGGTGTCAATTCAACATCATCTGCCCTGGCGAAGACTGACCTGCTTTCAGTATATGGTTTGCCTTTTTGTCTGGAAAGCATTAGCCAGCATCACTGTCACAGAACAATCTACTGACATGGGATCCTGTATGGCACTGTCTCAGATCAAAGGCCTCACTCTGCAGGTAAGGAGGAGCTTCAGTGAGGACAGTGACTCTGGGAGCCACTGTTCCTGCCATATTCCACTCTTCAGAAATTTCATCTTGATGAACAGGGAACAAGGCCTCTTGCACTGTTGGAGTCACCCCTCTGGATGAGTTATGCTTAAGTCAGTGCTCACTCTGTGATATTTGGCCCCAACATGAACAATACCGGGATCTGAAAACCAAGGGATAGGAATGGGAGAGGTCTTTGATTCACTGTGAAATCTATTTCTGATTTGTAAAACTGTAGAATCTGTAGATTTTGGGTTTTAAAGGGGAGAAAATGAGTCTCCATGAAGTTTAATCCTCAGCCACTTTAGTCTCTCTAGATTCCTCATGCCAGTAAACATGTAGACAAAGAATCACTATCCTGACAGAGGTAATTGGTCCTGATTATCATGGAGGGCTATTGAAACTAATTGAGGTCATGGAGGTGTATGTTGCCATGAGTCACCTCTTGGCATGGTCATGTCTAGTTTTAACAGTAAGTGGGAAATTACAGCAACCACAGTCTTAAGGGCATGGCAACCATGACCTCCGACCACTCCATGGTGAAGGCCCAGCTATCCTACAAGGAACTCAGAAGTGGTGGCCCAGGGCGAAGAAAGTATAGAATGGGTGGACAGAGAAGGAAGATCATGAGTATCAGCTACATATTCTTGAAACAAAATGTATAATTTGGGGCTGTGCTTTGTTCTCTTTTTGTAGGTGTCCCCAAGAATCATGACAATAGAATTTAGAAGAAGCTATATCTGAATGGAGTGAACTTAGTATTAAGCAAGTGAGTCTGGGGAGTACAAAGGATGAGCTTCTGGGGTCTGTTTGATTTGTTTCATGGGACCATGGCATCCATGGCTCAGCTGCTGTGAAAATCGATTGCTATTAGCAGTACACACTCTTTTACACTTAGCCTTTGTCCACTCAACATTATAATGATTGTATTTTCTCACGTGGTAGTACATAGATGCAATCAGTTTCTTCTTCTATATAGTGTCCAGTTGTATGACTGTATCACAATGTACTTACCCATTCTTCTATTAATGGATCTTTGCAGTATTTACAGTTATTACAAATAATGCCACCATGTACTCTTTTTTTTTTTAACCTATCTGAATATACACTCTTGTGTCTATTGGATATCTACCTTGCAATGAAATTATTGGGTCAAAGAATATATAAAAGTTCTATGACAGTAGATAATGTAAACAGCTTTCCAAAGTGATTTGTGCCCTAGAAGGACTATTTCACAACTCTGTAGGTGTGAGAATAGTTTTATATTATTTTCTGGAAGCCTAATTACTTTCTTTTTTACTTTTATATCACTAGTCGACCTGGAATTGATCTTATATTATTTGATGGGTTCAGGCTTAGTTGTTTTTTTTTCATATTGAAATCAACTGACCCTTTGATTTAAAAATATTTCTTTTCTACTCCTTTCTCCAACAGAGCATGATGTGATGTTTCATTTGTTTGATTTTTTTCTAATAAAGGAGCTTTTGTGATGTTGTGAGCCTCTTGTGATTGTGTGATCTTTTATTCTTAGAAAACTAAAGTTTAGAGAAGTTATTAAGCATAATGAACTCTTCTTTTGCACCCAAATTCCTTTTATTAAGTCCTTAAAAGAGGTAGATGTTATTTGACTGACTAGTTGATTGATTTTCATAAGTAAAAGTACAACGTGTGGTGGGTCAGTTCCTACTAAAGATGAGTGGTCCCTACGCAGTTGCACTTCTGGGAAATGATTTCTTCAGCTCCCACATCTGTGTTCTCATTGCATTCCAGGGGGATAAAAGGGAGAGCATGAAATGCATGCTTCTTATGGAAAGGATATTACTGAGGAATTGCACACTTTCACTCTCACTATTAGTCAAAATTCACACCTACAGTGAAGGGACTTGGGAAATAGAGCCTTTACTTTGAGTGTTCAGGGCTTCCCTGAAGTTTGGGGTCACCATTACTAAAGAAAAAAGAGAGAATAAATGTTAGAACAGCTGGTCATAGTCATGTACTGGTTGCAGCACATCAGGGATTCTGACAGAGGTTTGTGTAACTACCAGCTGAAGAACACAGCACACTCCTGTGAGAGCCAGCTGGGCCTGACAGTCTGCCTTTTAAAAAGCTTCTTGGGATAGGTTCCTATCAGAGTATACTTTTTAGATGTCTCTCCAAGTGTGTGTGTGCGTGTGTGTATGTGTGTGTGTGTACGTGCACGCGCGCACGTGTACACAATCTTTTATTAGAAAATATAATTATTTAATTTGATGTATTTCTTTTTCTTACTGTGGTTTTCAGACAAACTCATTTGAGAAACATCACTATTTCAAGTGAAAAATTTTCCAAAGCCAGTTTTAGTCCTTCTCTAAAACACTTACTAGTTTCTCTTTCTTTTTTGAATATTCTCCATCCTTCCCCTGCTCCCTACTTTCTCTCCACACCCATCTCTTTCTCTTCTGCCTCCTAAAGTTATGTTGTGCTCGCATTTCCTCACCACGTCTGACTTTGCACACTTGAACACAGAACAAACCAAGTGACGGTGGGGGAAGAAGAGGACAAAAGGTGAGTCAAACTATTTCTGACTTTTACATATTTTTAAAACTTTTATTATTAGTTTTTATTACACAAGTAATACATGTTTATTGTAGAAAAATTAGAAAACACAGAGAAGAAAAAAGAAAAAAAATCACCCATAAACCCACTACCCAGAGATAACTGCTATTGGCATTGTAGTGTATGTCCTTCTAGCTTTCTTACGCATATTTATATATACATATGTAGGTATATTTATATATAATTTTCTTTTTTTACAAATATTGTATCATACTATATATATACTATTTTATAACGTATTTTTCATTTAATGTATATTGTGAACATCATTGTTTATTCCCTGAAAAAATTATACAGATATTACATGCTCATTGTGGAAAAACTAGAAATTACAGATATGCAAAAAAAATTGCTCCAAATCTCACCTCCCAGAGATAAATGCTGTTATACCTTTGGCAATTATCCTTTCAGACCCCATTATGTACACACACATATATAAATACACATGTTTTTTAAAAGGGATTATACGCTAATATTATTCTGCAACTTTCTTTAATTTCACAATAGTTTGTGCATTTTATTAAATACACAAGACATTTATCCTCAGTTGGGTGTCAGTATTCCATTGAAAATATGTACCATATTTAACTAAGCACACAATGTATGTTTATTTATATTTTTCTACTTCTCAAATAATACTGCTATAAACATTCCTTCTTACATACTTTTGTGAATGATGAATAAAGGCATCTTAGCTCATTTTTTCCCCTGGAACTTCTAAAAGAAGAATTTGCTTAACGTGGCATTATTTGGCATGCAGAAAAACTATAGTACCAAAACATTTTTCAGAAAGGTTGAATCAACTGACACTCCTGTGGAGTATAAGAGAACATTCATTTCCATCTTTTCCTGTTGTCCCTGGAAACTTTAATTCTTCATTAAAGTTAATTCTCTGACTTTTTGAGTTTCAAAAAGGAGTTTATTAGTATGTATTTTTATTAGATATACATTCAAATGTTTTCATAATTATTACAAGTGAATTATATTAGGTTGTGGTACGCTATCACTTTATGGTCATAATTTCATTTTCTACTAGAAAGTTTGAGTTTTTGTGAGTCGTAAAATATAATTTATGTTATTCATTCATTTTTCACTAATTCAGTGAATATGTTTTCAGCGTTTGCCATGTGTCTAGCTCTGTATCAGGATTTGAAGAAACAACAATAAACAAAATAGATAATGTTTGTTGCTATTTGTACTTCCTGTTCAATGGGATGAGCAAACAAGAAATAATGCAAAAAGCACAGGGACTGCAGATCATGGAAACTTTCTCAAAGTAGTGATTTTTAAGTTTTTGATACATATTAGAGACCCAGACTTTTGTTCTATCTCCTACACATATTATGATTTCTTAATTTGGTTTATTTTTTACTCTGTAGGAGTTTCGCATTGCTAATCAGTTCAACCCATCCATCTTATCTTTATTGTTCTCTCCTTTAGTATTGTGATTGAAAGGCTTTTTTCCCTAACACTAACACTAAGCATTGATTCATATTGCTTGCTAGGTCTTTTGTATGATTATTTATTTGGTTTAACATTTAAATCTTTATTTCATCTAAAACTCATTTTGATGAAAGTTTTGAAGTATAGTTCTAATATTTCTCTCACAATAACCTAACTTTTCTCAGACTTGCAATTGTCATCTTGTAAAATACTCAATTCTTTTATGCTCTTCGGACAATCATGAACTGCATATTTAATTCTAAAGATTTATTCTGAGGCTAGTAGTACAACTGCTTATTCTCATCCTATCTATTGTTACCTAAAAATTGAACATTCCCTGTTGAGTGACATTCTAGAATGCTAAGAAACAACAGACACTGCTTAGGCGCAGATGGGAGGGGCAGGCAGTTAGGATGCATGAGAATTTCAATTTTGAGACTTTCAGAGTCTGATCCTCCAGACAGGATCATTGTTAAGTCAGCCCATTTGCTTGCTTTCTGAAATAAATTAGGAGCATTTCTACTCAGGTGTGTTATTCCCACTGTTAATCCGAAGCTTAGCTTTCAGTAGGTGGCAGCATTGCCAAACACCGAGCATCTCAACTGTTTTCACAGGAACTTAGAAGAACATAATGGTCAACAGAGTTTTAGAATTTCTCCCTGGAGCTTTAAATTAATTAAAGGATGCACTGAGACTGTGCTACTTTTAAAACTTTCCTTGCACCTCTGAATAAAAGCATAACTACAAGTTTTTAGTGAGTTTACATCTAGATGTGTACAAAACATTATTGTTTAAAATGACATATTAGCATTGTGAGCATTTTATCTGTCTTACTTAAAAAGTGCCTTTGGGCCTAGTCCCTTACTGATTCAAAGCTCAAAATGTAGTTTTAAACAATGTAACTGTGGTGGAATTCAGGTGATTTCAACTTTTGCTAAATGGTAATATTTTTCAGATTTATCACAAAGAATAGGTATTGCCTTTGTTATTTGGAAAAAAAATTAACATTGGCTGTGAAAGACTGGGGATGAGATGAGTATGTGCCAAGTTTGCATCATTTTCTGCTTCAAGCATGTGGATTACAATGAGAAAACAGGTTTACCATTCTCTTCTTACCCTTAGAGATCAGCTCCGTTAATTGCTAATCTCAAAGTAAATTACCAGCAGGAAGCTAAGAGAACAAAACTTGATCTCATGGAACTATACCTGAGAAAGTCTTTGGGAGGTGGGAGGAGAGAGGGGCAGCTCCTAAAGGATGCACTGGCATATCTAATGGGGGCTGGTGAATCACCTACTGCAACCATGTGCTGATGTAGATTATCAGAACTTTAAGTAGTAACTTTAGGATTTGCTACTGAAAAACCATCTCTAAATCTTGGAGTATGTCTACGGGAACTATAAAATTGATCGAAGGCTGGATAACAGGCACTATGAATAAAAGATAAGGTGGCTTGCTTATATATTATCTTAGATATGGAAAGTCTGGCTAGGTAATTAGACAAATTCCCATCTCCATGAATAGCTACTACAGCCTTCCCAGACATGGAGGTGAGATCTGAATTGATTAACAGTCTTCAGTTGTACAAGTACAATTGCACGTAAGATGTGTTACTTTCACACTGAGACTAAGGCGAGAGTGAGCTCAAATTAACCAAGAAGAAATGATTTAGGTCAGGCATTTTGAAGAACTTGCTAAATACCAAGGATGGGCTTATCAATTAATAACTTTGCATGGATTAGTAGGAACAGGATTGAGACTAAGGGTTCAATATAGTCAAAGGGTAGGAGAAGGCAGAGACAGGAGATGATAGCATGCCAATTTGGGCTGCTTCATAAACTGGAAAACAATGACCCTTAAGTGAAATAATATTGAGGGATCAAAGTGAGCCCAGTTCAGAAAATAACATTAAGCTTAATTAAGCTCAATTTATGAAAACAAGGTCAGCAGACTAGGTGAGTCTTGGAATGGTAACTTGCAATAACATACCATCACAATTCTTTTAGAAGTTTTTGATTTAGAAAATTGTGATTTTTCTCATATAGCTTGTCAAGGGTACTTTCTTTTGTGAAGCCAGGCATACTTGGAACCATGCATTGAATACCGGTTTGTTGGAACACAAGTGTGTAAGTCAAGAACAAGGCCAAGTAACAGCTGGTGTAATCAGAGCAGGAATCTGCATAGCCTTGTGAGATGTCTTTTAATCTTTTAATTCTTTTATTTTCATCTCAGATACTAGGGGGAATTATCTGAAATTGCCATTTTTATAGAGCAAAACAGTCAAATACCAGCAATTTCATATAATTCAACCTAATAAAACAATTGTTCATGTTTTCCATCTTAGTTTAAGCTAAAAATATTAATGGATTTAGTTTTTAGGTCAAGATATTAGTGTACATATGAACGCCTGTGTGGGGCAGGGATTGAAGATGAGACTTACATAAACCGCATGTAGGCTTCTAGCTCATACTTGTGTTGTGCTGGACAGTGGTGCCTCCCGTCCAACTTAATTTTTCAAACTATAGAGAGAAGAAAAGAAATGGAAAGACTTGATCTGTCCAACCATGAGAAATTTTGTCTGGGAAATGAGTCAAAGGAAAAATGGGGAAATATACCAAAATTTGATCCATAATTACAAGTGTGGTGGAGAAAGAGCACCACAAAGCTATGGGGAGCAGAAAACAAAACACATGATTTCTTCCTTTCTAAAACGTCATATTGCTTCATGTGTCCTGCTTTCGGTACTCTTAGCATAAGACAAGACACCAAGTACACATTGGAAAAGTCATATCTGCATAGTCATCTAAAATGAGACAAGCTTAGCGTAACTAAAACATTTTTTATTAATAATGTAAAATATTAATACTTTTATGATCTGAGCTAATTCCAGCATGCCCTATAAGTTAACACTATGCTGATGTGCAGACACCATGCTTCAGATTTCAATTAGAACAAAATGTGTTAATATTCAATTTTACATTTGAGGGTAATTGTATATGTTACTACACCATTTCCTAACTGGATAACTTCATTCTCCAAGCAGCTGAAAAAGACACCATGGGATCAAAGAGAAGTTAGTTGCTCATAAGCATTTATATGAAGATATTAGTATTATTGTGTATTTACAAAACATTTTTCATATGTGATTTTTGTTGCATTATAAATTAAGAAGATATTTTTATGTTGAAAGTTTAGATTCTGACAGGATGGAAGACTGAAAGTAGATGAGTGCATAAAAAGCAATAGGTGAGGTGGTATAAGTTTAGTTTTATTATTTCTAATGATATTAATAGATTGGGGTTTCTTTTAAAATACAGTTTTATAGTTTTAAGTAGATTTCTATGTTTAAAGACTTCTTTCATACATGATAAGGTGTTAGTTAACATGAGATCACCAAGAACTACAGATATACTATTATATGTGAAATAATTGTTCACTGAAATACACTTAAATAATCTTTAAATCATTTAAAATCATAAGTCTTGCATCTGTCATGGCATGGTTTGAAGCAGACACGCACAATATCAACTTTAAAAATTCTTCAACAAAAAACAAGCCTGTTTTTTAAATCTGCTCTTTTCCCCTCTACTTGATGGCAAGTGCTTTCAAGTGTAAAATCACTGAGAAGGGCAGGGAGAGGCGGGTGAAAGTAATAAGGTAGCATAGAAAAACCAATCACTGCGTGGTTCAGCTGTCTGGAGGTCCTCAGGTTTTCTGATTTCGTTTTTCAGCTGTTCCCAGTGGTGAGTTTCCCAGAGAATCACCTAGCTGGAGACAAGACAACACAGCCCAAAGAATCTTCTCTTTCGTCTTCTCACCAGGGGATAGGGAGTTAGATTCAGAAGGCTGCTGTCATCTGTGATGAGACAGAACATTCATAGGCGTAACACATGAACAAAAGCTACTTAAACAAGAGTGACTTTAAAACTCCACTATCCTTGGAACCAATGTTTTGCAGCCTAAATACTGTTGACATTTTTTCAATACTGGATATTGAACCCGGGACTTTCACACTGAGTCACATACCTAGTCTTACCAATATTATTATCATTTTTTAAATTTTTATTTTTTGTGAGACAGGGTCTTGCTAAATTGCCCAGCCTTGACCCAAACTTATAATTCTTTTACAACTCAGACTCCAGAGGGCTTATGGGTGTAAACTAGGATTATGGGTGTAAACTACCATGTCCAGTTACTCCTGGCCTTTTGAGCCCAAAAATTCTTTGTGTTGGAGGTTGGCCTAGACCCTGCTGCAAGTTTTGCAGTCTCTTCCTGCTCACGAGGATGCCAGGAATATGCCTCTACCAGCTGGGCCAGAAGCATTCCCGGCTATGGCCAAATGATCTAGAGAAAGGGAAAACAGCCCAGTGTTGAGAATCACTCCTTAGAATTAAACTGAAACTTCTTAGAGACAGTTTTTCAGTTGGAAAAAGTAGGTATTTTATTAGAAAGATCTTATTCTTTGGAGTAAAGCTGGCTTGATTTCTAAGTTTGCCTCTGCTATTTACTAATTCTGTAACTTTGAACATGGAACTGAAGATCACTCGGCCTCAGTTTTCTTATCTGCAAATTAAGGTTTTATAATTAAAGCCACTCACCTCTGGTGAGGATTAAATGAAATAATCTATTTAGCTTGGACAGGTTGCTTAGTGCCTAGCAAGGAGCAAGCATTTGATTAGTATTAACTGGCAGGAGGCATTTAGCTAATACAGCTACCATTAACTATTTTCCTGTACATAGGACCACCATCTTGGCTCCATTTACTTCTTTCAGGGCATCAGAAAAAATTATAGCTATTCTGTGTTCAATCTTTCTGTAACATTTTTTATAGATTTTTGTACATAAAGGCATTCAGAGACAGATGATAACTGTTGAACTCTTAAGTTTTGGTTGGGATTTTTAGCATGATAACAAGTAAAGGAAAAAATAAACCAGTAAACCAAATCTGATTTAATGTGTTGGGTTTTAAAAAATAGTGTGGTATGAAAGAGAGTCATTGTAGAAAGGTCTTGTTGGAATAGAACTGGCCGGTGTGGGTCTCAGTGGCTAGAGAAATACTGTGTAAGGAAATAACCCAGAAATTACCATCCGGAGATGGTGCTAGCACATGACCTTGCTGAGACAAAACGGCCGGTTAGTACTGTGACTGTTGGTGCCCTTCCAGGGCTGGGTAAGAGGTGCTCTCTTTTTCCAAACTAATCTTAAATGAGACAGAACCTTAGCAAAGGTATAGAATCAGTTGGGTGAGGAGATGGATAGAATGAAAGAAGTGTCTCATCTCAGTAGAATTAGTTTTTCTACAGAGGGTTTGTTTTTCTTGATTTCTGAACCCAGATGTTAAGATACTGTCAAGAACAGAAATATACCCTGGCTTTCTGGTCCTCTTACATTGTAACAGAAAATGCCCCAGGGCCAATTTGTTAGTTGCCCAGGTAGTAGCTCCTGTTACTACTGTCTCCTAGAAACAGCTGGTTACTGCGATGCATAACTGGTCACTGTGATGCATACCTAAGAACCAATCAAAGCCAAGTACTCTGCTTCTTGCTTGTAACCCCATAAAACCCTCCCTCCCTGAGCCTTTGGGGCCTGACATTTTGAGGAATAATTGATTCCTAGTCAGTGCCCGTCTGAGTTAAGTAAATCTGTCTCCAAATCCTGGGTGTCCTTCTGGTGTTTCTGCTTGCCATTGTAACATAAGTAGTGTCAACTAAGTGCCTGGTATTTTGCTCTCTGTTCCTAAGGGCTTTCATGTGTCACATTTATTGGTAAATGAATATCATCCACCAAACTTGACAGTGGTCCTTGGAAAGATGCATTGTGCTGTACATCTAGGAGGACCTTGAGATCAAAGTCAGTATCGGAGGAGGAAATGAGTGCCCTCACTGTGCATATCCCAGTGTCTCACACACAGACCCCCTCTGCGGTCTCCACAGATTAAAATCATCTCTTAAAACTCAAATTCTGTTACCATGGAGAAAAACAGAACTATTCTCATCCTTTCCACAGCGGAAAATAATTTATGGCAATCTGGGCATTAACATTTTGAGAGCTAAAATTAGGACATCTTTCTTTTATAGTTACCTGTCCCCAAAGGGTTAAGACTCTGAAAAGAATGTCAGATACTATACATGAGCCTCTTTTTTCAGAGACAAATCATGATATATTTGCAATAAAGAAGAAATCGCACCTCACTTTTTCATCATTTCTATGACTTTTATTTTAACTACCCAGTGATCAATAAACTTAACCTGATTGACTGCATATGACAAATATATAGCATTTTTTGAAGTTTAAAAAATTTTACCTTTTAGATTCCTTTTGAATACTGATGACATTTACTGAAACTCAAGTTTACTTGCAATTGCTTTCCTGGAACACAGTCATCAGAACTAGGAAGGTATTTATAAGGAAGAAAGATATTTATGTTTCTATTTTTTTTTTAAGACTTGGAAATTCTGTTTTCTAAATTCCTTTACCTCCTTTACTTTCCTTATAAACAAAACAGATTGGACGAGGGACTTATCTGGTCTTTGTATATAATAAAATATAATTATGATGTGTATTATTTCCACTGTTTGAAAAAGTATCTATCCCAATGTTGTATTTACAAAAAAATGGTATGTATGCTTTAGTCATATGTTTAGTCCCATTGTCTCTCTTTAAAATATATTAACCTCACAAAGGTATTATATACAGATAATATTTTTATGAGGACTGCATCTTATATCTGTTTATTCATTACAGTGAATCAAAATACCCTTCAATAGTACTGCCTTTTATGGTATTGAAATTCTTACTCAGCCATGTGCATGTATATGTATATATATATATATATATATATATATGTTAACACATATGCAGATATACATGTAAGCATTATATATAAACATTATATGTTATATATGTATATGCCCTGAAGACACACACAAATGTCTTGCTTACAAGTGGATTGGAGTGTTAGGATTGGTGGGAAATTGTTCAGACATTAAGCAAAGGGCAAGCATCTAAAAAGGGTGATTGCTGTTTTGGGGCAGTTTTGTTGTGCGTTTGTGACACCTTTGCCCAGCTCAGATTTTGTCTGATCATCACCGAGGGCCAAGGAACCACAGAAGCTCAAATATTCTTGGCAAAAATTCAGAGCAGTTTTCCACACCATAGGAGGCTGACACCCGCAGTAAATACAGAAATTTACCAAGCAGCAAATATGCCTGGAATGGTTTGAAGTGAATTTCAAGTGAAGATGTCTCCACATGTATTAAAATCTTGTCTCTGTAGGGCTGTGAATGGAAGGTGAGCAAAACAAAACATTTCCCAGCTTCATCTAAATTTTCTGGGGTAGGCCACTTGAATCTGTTGCATACTCTTTGATATTTTACCATGAATATTTGTTTGAAAGTGGCTCATTAATCAAAACTTTTATCCAAAATGTACAATCTCTAAGAAAATGCAACCAAGGACAACTTTAAGTGTGAAAATAAAACGTGGCAAAGAGAAAGAGAGGAGGAACACATAGGAGAATGTAAAAAAAAAAAAAATAAGAAAGAGTAGAAAATTCAATCATCAGTAAGAACAGACCTTACTCATTTGATTTTTAATTTTTGGATAATCCTAAAACCAGGAACACTGGGATCACCTAAGATACAGTGATAGCAATTCTCTATTGCTGAAATTTATTTTTCTGATAAAGGATTTCTTATGTAGATGATATGTTGAGAAAAAAAAAGGAACAAGAAAATGAAAAGTTTTGTTTCTTTCTGTCTTTTTGTCTGTCTGTCTGTCTTTCTTTCATCTTTCATCTTTTGTTTGAGACAGTATCTTGCTATGTAGTTCAGGCTGGCCTTGAACTCACAGTGATCCTCCTTCCTCAGCCACTCCAGTGCTGGGAGAACACCACATCCAGCGGAGATTTCAAATAATAAGCTGAGTTTTAAAGCTATACACTCAGATATAATTGAGAACAATGCTTATAATGAAACAGCAGTTACACGTTTCTATTCAGGTAAAAACTAAAAAAGAGAGAATTTAATTGAACTCAGTGGTTCTTAAACATTAGCTGCCTCAGCATTATCTGAAGCCTTCTTAAAGTACAGATTGTTGGCTTCAACTCCAGAGTTTCTAGATTAGTAGGTCTGTTGTGAAGCCAGAGAATCAGCATTTCTTACAAGTTTCCAGACATACTGATGCTGCCAGCCCTGAGACCACACTAATCGAAGACTTTCTGGTAAATGTAAAGCTTTCTGTTGGGTTAGAAAAATGGTTCCTGCTGCATTTTCCAGGAGTAACCATGAATCGTCATTTAATATGCCATTAGAGAGACACAAATATAGTGCTATGAGAATTCCTAAGGGGAAAGGATAAAGAAAGATTTTCTCCCCTTTAGAAAAGAAGAAAAACATTTACAGAAGATCCATGGAGGTCTTAGTGATCATTCTGGGTTACAAGGAATGGGGAGAACTTGGATGTTCCTTAAGGGGATGGGCATACTGACAAAGGAGACAGACAGGATGAGCAAAGATACCGAGGTCTCCAAAGGCAGCTTAATTTGGGTCTAAGGAAACAGACCAGTCTGTCTCATTCTTGAAAGGTTTTCAAAGGAGAGGATGGTTCAAAACAACCATTTAGAATTCCCTAAGCATGCTCACACTTGCCCTGGCCTCCCTGCGATTCTGCCTGTTATATCTCTTTTTAAGAAGCACCTACCCTCCTTAGACAAGGTAATCTCTTCAACATTAGCATCAACTTGCTTTTTTCGTGTGAAACCTTTTCTGATTGCTTCATGCTCTGCATTCTTTCTCGTTCTCATCCCTTCTGTAAACAATTGCAGCACTTAGCACATTACTACCTTCAGCCCTGTTC